CCGTCCCGTCCCGGCGGCGGCAGCGCTCGGGCCGGGTCGGGCCTAGGGGGTCGGCGGAAGCTGCGTCAGTCGCGGCGGCGGGGCGGGGCAGTGGTGGCGGCGGCCCTCCCGGTCGCGGCGCGGCGCCGCCGCCATGGCGCTGTCGCCCTACGTGCAGGCCATGCAGGAGCTGTTCCGCGCCAACACCCGGAGCCGCGAGTTCCCGGCCCACGGCGCCAAGGTGCACTCGGTGGCCTGGAGCTGCTGCGGCCGCCGCCTCGCCTCCGGCTCCTTCGACAAGACCGCCAGCGTCTTCCTGCTCGAGAAGGATCGGCTGGTGAGTTCCTCCGGCGGCCGTTCGGGGACACCTGGAACGGCCAGTCGGACCGGTACCCGGGCGCCCCGGGAGCCCTTGGGCTGGGACTGGTGATTGGGGCTGGTACCAGGGACACCCCCCCCCCCCCCCCCCGGGCTCGAACAGTAGCCCCGGTGGTCGGTACCAGGCCTGGAAGCGGGGACTTGGGTCTGTACCGGGAAGAGGAGTGTCGCCAGGGTCCCCATAGGCCAGTGCCGGTGCCAGGGAGCTGGGAGTGGAGCTGGGGCCTGGCTGGGGAGGTGGGGAGGGCTCCTCCATCCCGGCCGGCGGTGGGTGACTGAAATGGCGGTGGGGTTCTGGGCTGGGCTTCCGCCCCATCCGGTAACCGGCAGCAGAGTGGGGTGCAGTATACTGGGATGCGGGACAGGAGGGGGGGCAGAGCCAGACTCATCTCTCCCGTTAATGGCTGTCCTCCTCCTCCAGGTGAAGGAGAACAATTACCGGGGCCATGGGGACAGTGTGGATCAGCTCTGCTGGCACCCCAGCAACCCTGACCTCTTTGTCACGGCATCGGGGGATAAAACCATCCGCATCTGGGACGTCCGCACCACCAAGTGCATTGCCACTGTCAATACCAAAGGTGAGTCCCTGCCTTCCTGGGAGGGCCGTTGGGTCCCAGCAGCACCTCAGCTGCATGGGACCTGTGTGCAGTGGTGCAGTGCTTTGGACCCTTCTTGTGGGTATTGGTGATTGGGGTACCTTTGCTGACTGCTTTCATCTTTGTGTTGCACTGATCTGTAAGAAGCAGTAGTGAACGTGAGGGCTGGTTTACTCTGGTGTCAGGACTGGAGAAACTACTGATACATGATGCTGACTGTTAAAATGTCCTGCATACTTGTGTCTGGAGTCTGCGGGCTGCAAGGCTGGAGGCTAGGGAAAGACATGTTTGCAGAGCGCCATGGTGGAAGTAAAAGTTTGTGCGGATTCAGAAAGAGATTGTTCGAATTTATGGGCTGGTTAACCCAGATACTATCTCTGCTCTTGGAAATCTCCAATTTTGAATTGTTGGGGTTGGAAATGGCACTGTAAGATGGCAAACAGAAACCTGCCTTGTTCTTACTGTCGTTCATATGCGTTTATTGTTGGCCTCTGCTTTTTGTGGATCTCGAAGATCACTGGATTCAGAGGATCTTTGAGTTGACCTTGTTTGGTGGTTGCTGTGGTCCCATCTTGACTGAAATGGGAAGGGCAGTGATGCAGTCATATTGGCTTGAAGCTGTGGTTCTGTCAAGTTTAATTTTCAATAACTGTATGTATTTGCTGGACAGCTACTGTATAGGGTTTGTGTATTAGACTGCAGACCTGACAGTCTTTCCCATTTGGGAGTGGTTCGGAGTTAGTGGAGCAGATTGTGGCCTTGGGTCAGGAATAAAAGCCACCTCTCTGCTTAACTTATGGCTGCTGTGGATTGTTGGGTGGAAACGGGACCTGCTGCCTTTCTGTCCCTCCAGGGGAGAACATCAACATCTGTTGGAGCCCTGATGGACAGACCATTGCAGTGGGGAACAAGGATGACGTGGTCACTTTCATTGACGCTAAGACGCATCGCTCCAAAGCTGAGGAACAATTCAAGTTTGAGGTGAATGAGATCTCCTGGAACAACGATAACAACATGTTCTTCCTCACTAATGGGAACGGCTGCATCAACATCCTCAGGTAGGTGCCCGTGGCAGTGGGTGGGCAGGCTAGCGGGGCTGGCTGCAGCGGACATCAGTCTGCAAGCCCCTTTGCTGCTTTTGAGGAACTCAAGTCCCACAGCCCAGCAATTCCCACCCCTCTGCTGGGAATGAACTTTCCTGGAGCTGCTTGGCACTCAAGGCTTCTGAGACCGTGGCCTTGCAGCAGTCTGGTTTGCTCACAGTCCCAGTGTGCCTCATGCCTGCTCTGCTTGTAGACAAGCCCTACGCTTCTCTCACTGCGTCCTGCCCTCTCCCTTCATCTCTGCAGCTACCCAGAGCTGAAACCCATTCAGTCCATCAACGCCCATCCTTCAAACTGCATCTGCATCAAGTTTGATCCCATGGGAAAGTACTTTGCCACAGGCAGTGCTGACGCGTTAGTCAGCCTCTGGGATGTGGATGAACTGGTGTGTGTGAGGTGCTTCTCAAGGTAGGTAGCGCTGTCCCGAAGCTGTTTGCCTCCCCTCACCGGTGACCATGCAGGAGGTGGCTCACTGTCTGCTTCGCTTTGTTGCTGCAGGCTTGACTGGCCTGTGCGAACGCTGAGCTTTAGCCATGATGGGAAGATGCTGGCATCAGCATCAGAAGATCACTTCATTGACATTGCAGAGGTGGAGACAGGTAATGGTTTGACTTTTGGGGAACGGCAAAGAGGGAATCCGATGGAGAAGTGCTGGTGTAGCTGGGAGGGCACTGGGAGTATCAGTCTGCTAAGGAAGAGCTTGGTTGCATAGAGCAGAGCGCCGTGAGGGGGAGCCTCTGCCTCGTTAGTCTGTGGTAGACATGCCTGTCATGTCTGTGCCTTGTCACCAGGTGATTAAAAGGCGCTGAAGCAGTGTTTGTTCCTCCTCTGCCCTACGCGGGAGAGAAGCAGCAGGTGCTTGGCTCTGGTGTGCGCTACGGGGCAGCATGCAGTAGAGGGCTGGAGGCTCTCCAGGCTGACGTGGCCCCTTTTCCATGCAGGAGAGAAGCTCTGGGAGGTGCAGTGTGAGTCCCCCACCTTCACAGTGGCCTGGCACCCGAAGAGGCCACTGCTGGCCTTCGCCTGTGATGACAAAGATGGCAAATACGACAGCAGCCGGGAAGCAGGCACCGTCAAGCTCTTCGGGCTCCCCAATGACTCCTAATGAAACCGCACCGGGCGAGGCAATGCTTCCCTGCTCTCGGGGACATGAGAGTGCTTAGTTAGTATAGGTCGGGGTAAGGAGATGGCTCCCCTCCTTGCCTGCTTGGCAGCACTGTGACCTTTGGCTGTGGAGTGCGTGCTGCTCTTGGGAGCATTTGTAAAAAAGCAGCTTGTGTGCTGGGGAGGGTGGGGGTATGCTAGCAGGGCCCCCCTCCCGTCTGAGGGCTGCCGCCTCCTCTCTGAGGCACGGGGGGCTTGTTCCAAACGCAAGTGGCCAAAGAAAGTCAGTCACTGAAGGTGACTGCTGAGGAGCCTCCCATGAGAGGAGCTTTGCTCTAGCCAGGCTCCCCAGCAGTGATAAGCTATGTGACCGTCCCCTTGTCCCCAACAGCTGGTGGCGAGGGCAGCCCTGGGAGCACAGTCTGCCCCTTCCCCTCCCAGACATCCCGTGTCCCTTCCCCGCACTGGGTCAGTGAGGGGAGGGTGGGGGGATGCAAGTTGGGGGATGTTTCCCCAGCTGGGGCTTTTTTTTTCTTTTTTTTCTTTTTTTTTGTATCTGTGGTTGTTTTTTCTAATTTTGATAAATCCTCTTCCATAATGAAGGTGCCTGTGGCTGCTGTGGGGGAATAAGGGGGGTGCTGAGCTGCTCTCCTGTGAGCTTCTCTCCCTTCCCCTGTCTCCTTCCCCTTGGCCATGGCAAGGCCCTGGCTGCAGGGTCTGTGTCGAGGGGCTGTCCCCCTTGTCCGCACTGTCACTGTCTCCTGTCCTGCGTTGTCACCCCACTAGGGGGCACTGTTCCCCCACGCTGGGGACAAGTGACACAGGGACACTGCACAGAAGGTGGGGACAGCCGCAGGGACCTGTCCCGGTCCTGTAACCCTGCTCCTGCCTGGCAGCACCCCACATGGATGGAGCAGGGCCGTGGCCCCAGCAGAAGATGCTGCCTGTCCCATGCTGTGGCCACCGGCCCTGGGCAGAGCCTTTCCCTGCACCCCTGCCAGGGGTGACAAGTAGTGCCTCCCATATCCCCGCTCCCCAGGGAGAGCCGTGGGGCTTTCTTCCCCCCCTGTGCCGGCATGCTGGGTCGCAGGGGACATGGTCACTGCAGAGAAGGTGCGGACGCAGCCTGCCTGTGATGGAGACCTTGCCTGCAAGATCTCTATCATTTCCTACCCTAATATTTTCTTCTGACAGAAGTTTTTCCAGGTGACTGCTCTGCTGATGCCGCTTGGGTAACAGCTGAGCTCTTTGCTGGTAAATGATGGCAAATCAGTCAAAGCTGAGGCTGGCTCTGGACGGAGGCCTCTAGGGCTGTGCCAAGCCTGGGCACTGCCCGGGGCTCTGCCTTGCTGTGGGGCATAAGGTGCCCTGTTGCCCAGGGCCTGACTGTAGCCCCATGCCCCTGCTCTTGGCGGGGCAGAAGGCTGTGACCCACAAGAAACAGCCCTTATACCCCAGGGGTATCCCCAGTTGTTCTGTGAGGAGAGTCCCGGAGTCAGGGGGAAGGGGCAGAAGTCCCCCTGCAACGTCTGGATGGGGGCCCACCAGCACCCTTCCCTTTTACCTTGTCCCCAACCCCGGAGAGGACGCCTGCAGGGCAGACACAGGGCTGCGGGGAGGCCGCTGGAGTGAGCAGGGCTCTGGGAGCCATGTGCGGCTTCTCCCTTCACCTGTGGCTTGGCTTGGGTGCTGCCCGGCGTGGGCCCTGTGGCCTCCCTTAGTGTGATGAGCTGCCAGGTCTCAGCCCTGAGGGGGATGGAGTGGCAAGGGAGCTGGCGTGGGGCCCCAGGGAAGCAATGGGTGAGAAGATGCCGGAGCAATGTACAAATCCCTTTATTTTATTAGTTTGTCAAAGACTAGTTCGAGCAGGATGGTCACAGCATGTCTGCGGGGCCCCGAGCCGCCTGCCGCCTCCTGGGGAGGGCCCTGGTAAGCAGCTGGGAGCTGTGGCGGAGGAAGCACGGGGAGGGGGGAGCACGGTGCGGCAAGGGATGGGCTGGGGTGAGGGCATGCCCCCGCGTCCCCCCATTGGGATGCAAGCAGCGGTTCCTGGGACATGCCTGGGGCACTTGCCCAGGGATTCCTTCCCAGGCCCGGGGGACGTGTGTCCAGTGTCAGGTGGGGGGCAGCTGGGCGCTCCCAGCCCAGGACTGGCCTGGCAGCCCTCCCCCCCTGCGCTGGCTTTATTGCAGGGGGCAAAGCGGGGGCCCCGGCAGCATGGCGGGAGGCTCTCGGCTCATCGCCGCGGGTGGCCCCAGGGACAGTGGGGTCTCGGGGGTGGGAGCGTGAGCAGCGGACACGAGGACGCATGGAGCGACGGGGCGCACCCTGGCACAGAGACACTAATGCGAGAACGGGGGCCAGCGGGGCCGAGACACGGACGAGCGAGCGGTGGGGATGGCGGGAACGGGGTCGGGGGACGAGGCAGGGGGGTCCCTGCCCCGCGCGTGCCTTTGTACACGGTTGGCGGAGCGCGGCGCCCGCTCCTCCCGGTGCTGAAGTATTGCAGTCTAACTGATATGGCTTTAACTATGGGGCCAGAGATGCGGGGAGGGGGGGTCCCCTCCAACCCCCCGATGCTGGAGCACACTGGGCAGCCCCGGGGGACCCCCGTGCCCGGGGACCGGGGATGGGGGAGCTGCGGGCAGGGCGCCTGGCTTTGTGCTTTGGGCTTGGCCCAGGGCGGGACGGGGCAGGGGGATGGCAGTGCTGGGGACGAGGGCAGGCGAGTGGAGGCCTGCCGGGGTCCCCTGGGAGGGCAGGAGGGGCAGGGCAGGGGGCACAGGGAGCCACCCCGGGGGGGGCCGGTAGGGCCTGGGGTGCCCCCAGCCTGCCGCGAGGTTACATCAGTGCATTTGGTCCCGGTTCACCCTGTCCGGCCAGGGCCGCTCCCCTTTGGCACGGCGTGGTGGTGGGGCCCTGCCTGGACAGGACGGGGCGGGTTTTTGGTCTGGTCCGGGGAAAGGGCAGGAGGGGGTGCGGGGACCCCCCCCGGGGCCAAGGGAACTGATGGAGGGGTTGGAGGGGAGAGGGCGCCCGTGCCCCAGCACCCCATGGCAGGGTTGGCGGTGCTGTTACTTCTTGAACATATCCTGCAGCGGGCCGGGCAGGTACTTGAGGACGGTGTCCAGGATGCTCTCCTCCTCCTCTTCCTCTTCGTCCCCGCAGCCCGCCGGGATCGCCTTCTTGGGGCGCGTCAGGCTGCCCTCACACGGCTGCTCCAGTGCGGCTTTCTCCTCCGCCTCCTTCTCCTCCTTCTTCTTCAGCCCGTACTGTGAGGACACAGGCCCTCAGCAGGGCAGGCAGCGGGTGCTGCCTGTGCTGTGCCCCGTGCCCATCACCACTGCCTTGGGCCACCCTCCTCCCTGGCTGCGCCGGCTACCTGTCCCAGCCCCTCCCCGGGTGCTGTGGGCAGGGGTGGGCGCAGGGGAGGCGTGTGCCCACCTTGTCGCGGATCTGCTGCCGGACTTTCTCCCGCTCGGCTTCCATGCGGGCGTGCTTGGCTTTCCGCTCTTCCTCCTGCTGGCGCAGGGCCTCCTGCCTCTCCTCCTCCTTTTTCTGCGCGTCGGGGTCCTTCTCCTCCTCACCCCCCAGCATCTTCCCCATGTCCTTGGTGGCCCCTGTGCAGCACAAGACCATCGGCCGGTCCTCAAGGGTGCCGCAGCCCAGCGTTGGCTGCCGAAGCCCCTGCAGAAGCGGGGAGGGTACGGAGGCCCCCGGCAAGGACAACCTGGGACGTCCCCAGTGCCACCCATGCCAGAGCCGGCTGCAGACGAGTTCCAGAGGCTGTGGGGATGGGGAGTGCTGCGGGCTGGCTGCACTGCCCTAGTTTGGCGTCAGCCGGGGGAGACGCCGGCAGCTCCTTTGGTGCTGGCACCCAGGGGACCCGCTGGGGAATCCCACTTAGCAGCGGGAGAGCTGGGATTCCCCAGCCAGGCGCTGCTGGCACAGGGAATGGGAGCCCTGGAGGGTTCCGGCAGCAGCTCCCCGCTGCTGGTGGCTCTCCCCGCAGCTCTGTCCCCCTGCCATGTCCCCCCCACTGTGCACCCTGGGGTGCCAGGCTGGCATCACTCCCGGAGGGGGGACCCTGAGGGGGGACGGCACCCACTCACCGCCCAGCGCTTGCTTCATGACGAAGTCCATGGTGCCGGTGTGCGTGTGCGGCTAGGCCAGCGCCCAGCACTCATCCACTGCTGTCCAGGCTCACTGACCAGGGCCACCTGCATGGGCAGAGAGGGACATGGTCGGGGACGCCGTGCCCAGGGTCCCCACTGCCCAGGCATGAGGGATGGGATGCTCCCTGGGGGCTGCAGTTTGCACCCTCTGCACCTCCAGCCCCGAACACCTTCCAGGATGGGCAGAAGGAGCTTTGGGGGTCTGTGGGCAGAGGTTGGGCAGATCTGCCTGCTGGCAGCACCTGCGCCCCTCGGCCCCCTCCCCACAGGCCTGCTGGCCCCTGGGTGGAGGGACCAAAGCAGGGACCCCAGAGGGACTCTGCACCTCAGCAATGCCCCCGGGAGGGGGGGGGGCAGCAGGAGCCCGAGAACCCCGGGGTGCTGCTGCCTGGGGGCCTGGTGAGATGGGGACCCACCACGCCACCACCCACCGCATACCCCTGCTTTGGCGGGGGGACGACGACAAACCCTGCCTGGGGATGTCAGCGTGGCACAGCCAGACACGGGGTGCTGTGTGCACGAGCGTGTGTCTTACCGCAACGCATGTGCTCTGCAGAGGGATGGAGAAGAGGCTGTTGGCAGGTTGTGACAGTGTTTGGGGGCTGCAGGGGTTGCAGGCAGGAGCCTGTGACTGTGTGTGTGATCCCTGCGGGTGCTGGAGATGGGTGATGGCGTGCAGGGGCACCGCGTGTGCAGGATGGAGCGTGCGTGTGTATGCCGTGTTTCGTGTTTGAGTGCGCTGGGTGTGTGTGAGCTGTACATGCAGGCTGTGTTTGGTCAAGAGGTGTGTTTGCGGGTGGCTGCAGGCTGTTTGCACGGGGTGGGGGTGTGCACGTGCGTGTGCGTATAAGTTTGTGGGGCTGCGAGCTGCGTGTGCCCACACGGTGTGCAGGGCTGCAGCCTGTTTGCAAGCTTTGAGTGTGTGCGTTTGGGGGTTTGCAAGCTCTGTGGGTATGTGTGCAAGGGCTTGCAAACGGGGGTGGTGTGTGTGTGCGCAGAGGTTGGCAGGCTGTGTTTGTGTGCGCTGCGTGTGCGCTGCGTGTATGTGTTTGCACACTGTGGGGGGGGTTGGAGGTTGTGTTGGTGTGGGGAGGGGGCTGCATGTGCAGGTCTGTGGGTTTGCAGGCTGTACGGGGCGGGGTGCGCGCACAAATTTGCAGACTGTGCTGCGTGTGTGTACGTGTGGGGGTGTTGCAGGCTGTTTGCATGCTCTGTGTGCGTGTGGGGGGGACTGCAGGTGGGGGGGGTGTATGTGTGTGGGGCGTTGTGTGCCTGCGGGATGGGGGTGCGTGTGCTTGTGCCCCCAGTGTGCCCTGTGTGCGGGGGGGCTGCAGGCTGTGCT